ATAGCACTTTGTCCCCCCAGCTCCTCCCACAGCAACCCCATGAACCTGAGTCTCCTCAGTCGTATTATTATGTGTTCAACTGTGAACACTTTCTTAGCCTTCCTCAGTTCCTTTTCATCTCTTTCCATCTCCCAAGTGAGACACTGCCAATTTTTTGGGATGGTCACCATCCTTTTTTTTTAACCTGTTCTTTGTACTCCAAACTCTGTATCTTCAGAAGAGGCTGGTGTGCATTTTTAAAATATTTTTGTGGCAAGGGTCTCTCCCTCAATGTTCTTTAACCCTGTTGATCTTTTGTTAGACATATGTGTTCAGAAGTGAAGATCTTTTCAGGTAAAATACCCAACAAAAACAATTCTGGTTTTAAGCTTATTTATTGTTTTGTCATTTCTCCTAGCCAAATTCATATTTTTATCCAATATTTTTTACCCTTTTCACATGTGCACATATGGTAATAAGAGCCCAGTAACTGATTACATTTCCAACACTTGGAGGACATGTTTTTAAACATTTTTGCCATTCTTCTGATGGCAAATGCCACTTATAAAAACATTTTGTATAGGTTTTCTTTATAGGCTGTTGACATTGTCAATTTATAATTTATCTCCTAGAGTTTTTGCCACTTATCTAATTCTATAGTGTATCCAAAAAATTTAGCCCATATTATCATTGTTTCTTTTACTTATTCTTCTGTCATTTTAAAACTCAGTAAGTAACTGTATATTCTTTTTATTAATTTATCATCAATCCCTAAAAATATCTGATCCAATTCTGTAGGTTCTTTATAAAATCCATATTTTATAAATATGCATTCTAGATCTTTCTTGTACCTTGATTTTATTTGCATATGTGGCCACCATGCCAAATCAATCCTTTGATCTTTCAGTTCTTGCTTCTATTTTAGTTCCCCTTGTTAGGATATCTTTATATCTCATAATTTTTCCTAGCTCCACAACATTCAGGTATATTAGTGTTTCCATTGTGGATAGCCAGACCAGTATTTTCATGTATGTTTCAGAATTCATGTGGAGACGTTTAAGGGTTTTGCCCATAAACTTGCACAGTAATTCATATATACTCACATGCACTCTGACTAATTTGTTGCAATTCAAATTGTGCAACAGCAATCTCTTCTACTAAGGGAGTAATAACTCTTTGTTTACTAATTGTTCTAATAGGCAAGTGGATAGAAAATGTGCCTTTGATCTTTCATTTCATTTCAAAGCATTTTCTCCCTCTTTTCTGTTAGCAGTATATAGATGATATCCAGCTCCACTTCTCAACTCCAGGCTGTGCAGATGAAGCTGTCAATCCATTAACCCAGTGCCTCAAGGATGTTTGCATCTGGTTGGGGAGGAGCAGACCAGTTCATTCCAGGCAATGCATAATAAGATTCAGAAAGACTGAGCTGGAATAGAAACAATGACACAGGAATCAGGTACCATTGATATCAGACTTAAAACACATTAAAAAAATTAAATAGTCTTAGTACATCATTAAATATAGCCTATTTCTGATAAAATATTCATTCTTGAAACAAATTTACTTCCATCTCAATTTTACGGATTTGTTTATTTTTCCATATTCTATCTACTCTAGTGTAAAACGGCTCTGGATCTCTTATATTAATGTAACTTTAAAGAATTAAAAGGAGGGGCATGAAAAGCACTATTGACCCATTTTTCAGCCAGTTTTGGGCCTGTTTTTTGGCCAGCAGAGTGCTGCAGGAGGCCATAGAGGCCGAAAACAAAATGCAGGGCGGGGTGCACATGGCCCATTTTAGCCACCAGAGGCACCACAAGTTGGTCCTTTGATATTTGAGGACCGGATTTAAGCACACTTGAGTTTGACACCCCTGCTTTAAAGTATTCTCTGAGTGGTTTACAATGTCAGCAAACTTTCCCTTGGAAGGACGGAAGGCTGAGTAAACCTTGAGCCCCATCAGGATCGAATGCCAGGCTATAGGCAGAGTTTGCCTACAACTCTGCATTCTAACCACTACATCACCATAGAATGCAAAGACCTGCAAATAGAAGTAGGATGACTGTGGCAAAAGAAAGCAAAGATGCCAATGGCAATAGCCACCAGGTTCAATTCCAAAACATCTGGAGCATCATTTAAGCACCCATGGCATTGAACAAAATATCAATTGATAAAAATTATACTTCGGTATCACTGCTACAATCTACCCCAATCAATCCCACATATGCAGATCTCAATCAAACCATTTTGCTTAAGTACTGGGCTGTGTTAAATGTTATTTTCAGATTCTGGCTGCACATAAGGTAAGTTTTGATATGTTGATCCAAAAGGGTCATTCGTTGGGTATATAGTCCAAGGTACCTGTCTCTCACCCTCTTTTTACAGGCAACAATCAAATAGGATGTGAGCCAGGTCTTCTACCTCTGCCACACATCCACTGTAGGGTATAGAATGGAATCTTCCATATCTGATCATTGGGTCAAGCTGTTCAAACCTCGCTTGCATAAATATCTCCCTAAGATATTTTGGAAGTTGTAACTTCAAATAGCTGTCTATTTGAAAAGTACATTTGTATTTGCTCAGCCATTTCAAGTTACCCACCTTACTAAGGATAGCTGTATCATTTTGTTATATCAGTGGTAGTCAACCTGGTCCCTACTGCCCACTAGTGAGCGATCCAGCTTTCATGGTGGGTGGTAGGGGTTTTGTCCCCTACTTTATAAATCACCGTTACTGTGGAACCTGTGGGCGGTTAGAGAAAATTTTACTACTAACAGAGATACAAAAGTGGGTGGTAGGTATAAAAAGGTTGCCTACCCATGTTCTATATCCTTAATTCTTTGGGCAGCTCTTTTCCTGTTACGCAAGAGACAGGAAGGCTTCTTACAAAATTTGTTAGTTTGATGATCCAGGAGATTTGTGATTGTGATTTTATTCGCTCTAGAAGACATAACTTGGGGAGTCTATCAGTCTCCATTTCACTGATTTTGTGCCAGTAGTTTTATGCTCTAATTCAGTGGTGGCTAACCTTTTTGGGCCCCTGTGCCAAAAATTGTGCATGCACCAGTGTGCACACACACACGTGCCAGCACCCAGAATGCAATGTGCACCCCCCTATACCCCCTGCGCATGCACACGCAATACCTCCCCGCCACCCCCTTACCTGCATTGCACATCACAGCTGATTTTTTGGCTGGTTTGAGGCCTTCTTCAGCCTCCCAGAGGCTTGCAAAAAGCCTCTGCAAAGCTTTTCAGGATGAATAATAGGCTCGTTTTGTCACTTCCAGTATTACAGGAAGTGATGAAATGGGCCTATTATTTGTCTTGAAAAGCCTTGCAGAGGCTTTTTCCAAGCCTCTGGGAAGCCAAAAAAGACCTCAAACCAGCTGAAAAATCAGCTGTGAGGCGTGCGCACATGCAGTGAGGTAAGTTTGCCTGCGGCCCATGTGCCAGCACCAATGGCTCTGCGTGCCATAGGTTCGCCCTCATGGCTCTAATTCAATGGCGTTGAACAAAATATCAATTGCAGAAGGCAACTTTACTTGCGACAGTTTATATTCTGAGATGATATCTTTAATGCCATCAAACAACATCTGCTTCTCCTAGAAAAAACTCAATAAATGTATAAAAATGCCAAATCCAGTCTAAAGGTCTGGATGAGTATGTGAGTAATAATGGTAATAAATAAGCTCTATAAAGCCAAATAAAAGAAGAGGAAGAGGAGGAGGAGATCAAAGAGAACACTGCTTTTAAAATTGTTAATAGCCTCTCCCCAAAGAAATTTAGTAAAAGATATAAGTTTTACTGGGAAGTTGGGAAGTTCATAAGTTGAAAAAGATTCAGATAGACTGAGCTGTAATAGAAACAATGACACAGGTATCAGGTACCATTGATATCAGACTTAAAACACATAAAAAAATTAAAATGGTCATTAAATATAGGCTATTTCTGATAAAATATTCATTCTTGAAACAAATTTACTTCCATCTCAATTTTATGGATTTGTTTATTTTTCCATATTCTATCTACTCTAGTGTAAAACGGCTCTGGATCTCTTACATTAATGTAATTTTAAAGAATTAAAAGGAGGGGCATGAAAAGCATTCTTGAGCTCTTCAATTAAATTGGGATCAAAGGAGGAGGTTGTTTTCTAGAAAGCATTTCGTAAAGTTTGTACCAGCTTTGAAAAACTCCTGCCTCTTTTATCCATCCAATCAGAGCAGGTCCTTTGATGTTCATCAGTCAGTGATGGAGCAATCCAGATTTGGCAGGAAAAAAATTATTTTGAGCATCTTCTGGCACCCACAATTAAATATATTTTCCTGGGATCACCCTCTGGCAAGAAAAAGTACAGATTGTTCCAAAAGTTCCTACATGGCACACCTTTAAATCACATGGGTGATTTAAATAATCTTTTTTTCTTAGAAACTAGATTGCTGCACAGCCTTATTGATTGCAGTGCAGTTTACAAAGTGTTTGTGTTTGTGTTCAAACATGAAATGTGTTTGTGTTTTATGCTTCATACCCTAGATTGTCTTCAGCTTATCTCTTCTTGCCAAAGATATATATGCTATTAACATATTTAATATATTTCTACAGGACATCTCAATGCATTACACCATTAGGAACTCTTGCAAAGATCCAGCAAAAGAAATGTTGTTGGTAAGATTGGACGCTGTCTTGACGGCACATAATAGATTTAAAAATACCTATATTAGTGTTCATGTGTTTTTTGAATTTATTTTTCGAGGTAAACCTTTTTTAAAATCTATCAAACGCCGATGTGCTGATAATATCGGGGGGGGGGAGTATTACTGATTACTCCACAAGGCTCCTTAACCGAAGAATAACGTTGAATCAAGGAAACGAAAACGCAGCGGAGGCCCGCGGATGAAAAGAAAGCGTCGTCACGGGCTCAGAGTTCCGCGATTGCTTGGCCACAAGGGGGCGCCGCTCCCACAGCCAAAACCGTCCGGCATCTTTGCGCTCATTCGCCAAGCTCGGCGCCTTGGTCCAAAATGTCCGGGTCCTGCTCGGAGGTCAAGCTGCGTGGAAGAGCACTAGGCGTCTCCTGGATTTCCTGGGCCCTCTGGGGCAGCTTGGCCCTGGCTCCGGCTTGCGGGTACGTGATCGTGAACTCGGTCTCCTGGTCGGTGCCCAACGAGGTGGAAGAAGAGCTGGACAGCTCCTCCAACGAAGAGGCTCTCCCCGCCCTCCTCGAAGACACCAGCAGCATTTGGAAGCAGAGCTACCCGGCCTCGGTTTACAAAGAAGAGGAGATACGGAGCAGGCCGGGAACGGAGAGATCGAAGCAAATCTCTTCGCCGTCGCGGATGTTTTCTTACCGGAGGGAGAGTTCCAAAGGAGCAGACAGCCCAGCGCTTCCTCTGGAACAAGCAGCCAGAACGGCCCGCTTCTTGATGCATCGCCATGGCTGGGGCTTCTTGGCTACGATTTCAACCCAAGAAAAGGTACCACCACCGTAAGCCGCCTCTCTGGTAGCAGCCGGGAAAGGAAGGCGCTTTGCCTTTTTCCTTCCGAGCGCTGCTCTTGCAACAGCGCTGCTGCATTTTCCTCTTTAGGAGCCTTGTTGCTGCCATTCCCCTCTGTCCAGCCGCGCACTGGCTGTACTGAGCCACGCGGTTGTCATTTGGGGACAAATCCACCACAAGCCATGAATCGTGGCTTGAATGAGATGGCTTAATGGGCTTCCTTCCCTCTTCCTGAAAAACAGGATAATGATTTTGCCTGCCTCTTTAGTAACACCTGCAAGGTGGATACAAAAGGGGGAAAAAATCTGAAATCAATCAATCAGAGGAAGAATGTGTCCAATTTCCAATAATGCCTGATAATTGTTGCAATTATAATAGACATATTCAAAGTTGGTCTTTGGTTTTTTTTTTTACGATTTAAATATGGGGACCAAATTATTAACAGTTGCATAAAGTTTTCATTTATTTATTTATTTAAGTCCTTTACTTAAAATTTACTAGTACAACACTAAGATTGAAATGTATTTTCCCCTCATTACTTAAAGAACCCTGATAATTCCAGTTCACTAACAATGGTGCCAGAAGATGCTTGTAATGTACTAATTTCAAACTGACTGTGATAAATGGGAAAAGAAAAGTTTGAAATAATTTAAAATACATGTTTAATAATTGCTGCTCCAACAATGAAATGTATGCTTGAATGTTTACTCTTCTTATAACTTGGAGACTAGGTTTATGTAAGAAATTTCCAGAAGAGCCTTTTATGCATGATTATTTCAACAATGAGATTCAGTTTGTTGTAGTGGTTATAAGGCACCAGGTTAGAGACCCAAAGACTAGGAGTTCTTGTCCCACCTCAGGTGTAAAGGCATCTGAGTGATATTGGACCAGTCACTCTTTTTCTCGGCCCTAGGAAGAAACCAATGGCAAACCATTTCTGAAATCTTGTTAAGAAACCTGCAGGAGTCAAAACTTGACTGGAATGCACAAAATCCAACTATACACCTATAGGATTTCAATAGTTACACATTTAATTTTGAGAAAAAATATCATATCTCCATGATGTTCAAGATGCTTCCTGTAACTGAATTGTGAAAGAAGAGTCCATTGTGACTTCAGTTCCCAATATATGTCATTTTTAAATATGCATTTCATTTTTACAAAGATATTGGGCATAGTTGAAATTCATATAGAATAGAATATAATTCTTTTTTGGCCAAGTGTGATTGGACATACAAGGAATTTGTCTCTTGTGCATATAATTCTGATCTTTATCTTATCCTACTTTTAAATTTATAAATATGCCTTTTCATATACTGGCTTTCCAAGGCAAATACCAAGACTACCTAGATCACTTAGAATCTTATCCATCTCTTCCAAAGTATTAAGCCTCTTAGTTTTGGGGCATCTGCATATCAGATAATTGTTCCCTCAATTGCTTCACCCAGGTCATTAATTAAAATGTTGAATAGCATAGGGGCCCTTT